CCCCCTCCCAATGACTCTACCCAAGAAGACCACCTCTCCACTGCAGTCCTGACATCTACATTTTATCAAACAACAACCCCCAAAACCTGTCTAAGACAACCACACAAAATCTCTCATTACCCAATGAAAACCCAAACCTCCCTTTCCCCACTCCCATAAACCCAACCCATTTTAATAAAGCAGTCTTAAACAGTCCAGAGCCGATGGTTGGTGGGTGCTCTCGTGTGGTGTGCTCTTTCCTCACCTCTTATCGTCCTGATCTCTCTACTTTCTTTTGAGTGTTTGTTATTCTCTTGCAACAACTTATCATTTTATTATAAATGCTATGACTTTTATGTGTTGCAAGTGATGATAATTCTTTCTACAACTAAAAAGCAGTCATCAGCCTGCGACCATCTCTGGTCGGGACCTCAGTGGGTTATGGGGTTTTTTTCATTTCATTTTCATCTGACCTGCCCATGAAGACTACCTGTCTAAGATGACCACTTTTTTACTCAATTATGGGTGGATGTCTTGGACTGGTTCGACACTATATAGCTGATACACAAGTGGTACAAAGACATTACTATTTCATGATGAGACATGATTTTCAAAGCAAGGTTTGGGTACTCGCCTCTATAGCGAGCAAGTTTCTATATCACTGTCAACGTGGATGCCTTCCTCTTCAAGCAACTGAAGCACAGGAGTGTAGATATCTGGTGTTGTTGGGAGTATGATTCCAGACCTCTTCACCTTTCCTGGTAAACAAGAGAAAAATTTATGACTGGTAAGAACCATTAGTCTAACGAAGGGCATTTCTAAATAAAAATCTTTATTTTGATAAAAAGAATCTTGACAAAAAAATTAACAAATTATGGGAAACTTTACTTTATTTACTGGTAAATATATCATACAATATACTAGGTTCTATCTCAGCATTGTGACTATCACAGAGAGTGGCATAACAAAACAAATAGACCAACATGGTATAACCCCAGTATATGATGAAAAAACAGATCGTAAAGGCCTTACAATCAACATGAGGGCCAAAATAATTTCGTTCACACTAACATATTGACAGTCCCAATCTTTAAATTGGCCTGGGCAAAAAAGCTGATACTAACACTAACACACTTGTCTGAGCTTAGAGAGCTTAAAATATTAAGTAATTGGAAAATGAGAGGTGAACAAGGATGACCCACATCTGTTTCAGAAGTGGCATTAAAAGAATAAAAAGAGAACTTAAGGAGATAGAATAACTGGTATCTGAATGTAAACTTTCTTTACAAAAAGATGAAACAAAAACTGACCATCCAATAACAAACAGGAACATTCTCCAATTGTAAGTCCAACTGTCAAGGACATTGCTGAATGGCCATTAGGTTGACCGTAGCAGACCAGTTCGAAATTATGACTCTCTCTGTAATCATCAGGAAACTTTGCCTCAATCTTGGTACGCATGAGTACCATGTCTCTCTCCTCTGGACCTGGAAAAAACCCCACAATAAGACCATGTTAACAAACTGAAATACATACACCGAATATATATGAAGAGAGCAAGAACATCACCACATTTGCTGTTTCTATAAAGCAGTGACATATGAGACAAACATGACTTGCATACAATTTACTAACAAATCAAGATTACCGCTTCAACAACAGAAAATGGAACTTGTTCCCTTAGTGCTTTGATCGCTCCTTTAGGATTCAATATAAAGGTACAATCATTGTCCATTCTGAGAATTCACCCCAATTCAAGCCCAAAGTACAATCTGAGATCTACAATCCTAGACTTGGCCAAAGGCCCATAACGAGCAGTCATTTTCCTTGATTCAAATCCTCAATTGTTAAAATTGAAAAGACATCAGTGAGAGGAACTCACCAAAAGATAAAGAGTCGCAGCTAAGAAGCTGAGCTGTGAGCACATCCACAGGCGCACCAAGCAGAGGCACCAACGTCTCATCAAGCAAGCCAAGTCTGAAACAAAAAGAAAATGTAATATAACTTATATATGCACTTGTGCTGCTTTGTTGAAAAAGTATTTTGTGAAAACATAACAATGCTTTATTTATTTTTTAAAACATAGCCTAAAAATACTTAAAGTGTTTGGTACCCTTTAAGAAGGAATAGACAGTTCAGTCAAAAAGAAGTGATTCCAAAAGAAGCTAAAATATCTTTCATAAAATAGAACTCATTCAGTACAAGATTATCACATTAACTAAACAAAAGTGAAGCTTAAAATAAAAACAGTCATCCAGATAATGTTATTTTACATGTGTCATCACTGAAAAACAAGTTCTGACGAAACCGTCCAAAATGGATACTCATTGTTGAGGAAAAAAGTCGTTGTCTTAGACAGGCGGACATTTTGGGTAGCATCGATGAAAATAAAGAAAACCAACGATTCTGTTCTGGAGTTCAAGCCAAAGCTTAGGACTGTCTTAAGACCCATTAAACTGTATTGCTTTTTTTTTGTCTTTATGAGAAAGGACAGAAATGGAGGTTTTGGGTGTGTGTGTGTGAGAGTGTGTGTGTGCGTGTGTGTGTGTGTGCGTGTGTTTATGTGTGAGTGTGCATGTGTCGGTGGGTGTGTGTGTGTGGGTGTGTGGGTGTTGGTGTGTGTTTGTGTATGTGTGTGTGTGTGTGTCTGTCTGTCTGTCTGTCTGTCTGTCTGTCTGTCTGTCTGTCTGTCTGTCTGTCTGTCTATATCAGTGCATGTCTCAGTCTGTGTGTGTTTGCGTGTGTGTGTGTGTGTGTGTGTGTGTGTGTGTGTGTGTGTGTGTGTGTGTGTGTGTGTGTGTGTGTGTGTGTGTGTGAGAGAGAGAGAGAGTGTGTGTGTGTGTGTGTGTCTGTCTGTCTGTCTGTCTATAAGTGTATATCATCATTAGTTTGTCTGTGTATGTGTCTCAATGCATTACTATGTGTCCTTCAATGAAAACAAATGCAATAATTTATGGCCATGTGTCTGGTGATGAGAAATTTGTGCGGTAGTCTTGTTTGATAAAATACAGCTGTTGCGGACACATTGAACAGGTTATTGTCTTGGGCAATCGTTTGTACAGTTGACTGTCTCGGACGGGTGGTTGTTCAGGCAGGCTTCACTGTACATGACTTATTACATAAACCAACTACTCACTTAACTACAGTATCTGTAACAAGATCATTTCTGCCAAATCTCTCATGAAGCTGCTCTCTAACTTGCACATAACTTGACTGTTGTGGTAAATCTAGAAGTCTGGCCATCAAGTCTTTCTGCAATTTATAATAGTAGTACTGTTGATGCACTTGCTCATCAGTTCATTTGTACAATGTTTTTATGAGCTCAACAGTGAAATACACATGATGCAAATTCAAAACTCTCTTATTGAGGAGTGAATTATAAGGTTAGAACTGAATAGAAATAACTTACCAACACACACACACATGAATGCACGCACACACACACACACACACATATGTACACACACAGTCTCTGCCCAAGAACCTGGTCATCGGGAGACAAAAAGGACGGTTCTTTGTAGACCATGCTCTTTGTGGATTTCATGGGAAAGGGCACCTACCATTTGAAAATGACCGTAATATGTGTTATCACGTAAAACGGGTAGTCAGACTTGCAAGAAATACAGAACTAAAATTCCATTACACAAAAATAATAGGCTCTTAGGCACACTCAAGGTTCTTGAATGGCATGTTCTAAGGTAGAGACAGTGCAGTCTAGATTACTGTAATCCAACCCACAGTGAGCAGAAACCTCTAAATGTGAGTTGCTTTTAGTCCTCATACATAAAATTTGATATAGTAGGCCCTATGTACAATTTTACTCAGAGATGTCTAAATCGCTATAAGAAATAGGGAAAACGAATTCTCAATGACTTACCCAAGTAATGGGATCAGATCCAGCAGAAAGAAAAGACTTTTCTTCCGTCTCCAGCAGTCTAAGGGAGCTGAAGGCTTTGATTACATCATTATATCCCTATTAGACAGATGTGGGGTAATTTAGACCATTTATTACAGGATCCAACTCACATTCTAGAATAATGGCAAGTTTACTTGGTGACTCACAGCATGCACGTACTGCGCTCTTGATTTTTAACTGAGAAAATTATAGTACATGTCATCCCCATTTCTTTGAGGCCACACATACTCATACATGGTACTTTTACAATGGAGACACCTGGCAATATTATTCCTTCATATATATATATATATATATTATATATATATATATATATATATATATATATATATATATATATATATATATATATAATAAATTTAGTTGGGTTGTTTTTTTTCCATCCATGCAATCTTTGGGTTCAAAGCTTGCTAAACTTACCAAAACATGGACACTCAAACATTTTTTTCCTACTGTGAATCTAATAAACATGGTGTCTGTGATTAAACTTTCCCTGCCATTCCAACTCACTAGTCAAGCCAGGAAAGGAACATAAAAACAATCTACAACTTGCAATGGAACTAGCCAAACAAACATGGCAGAAACAATTTTGGTGTGAGTGTAAGAATAAGAGGTTGCGGTGCAAGAAGGAGATAATAGGAAACACTGTATGGTCCTGGATCATAGACTACGCCTTCATTCCATTTAATCTAATTAAAGGACAAAGGGTTTATGAGTATGAAGATGAGATCAAAGAGCTAGATACTAGTGAGAAGGCGTTACCACAGTGAGTAGACCAACTCACTGTAAAACGCCCCTAGACTGGTCTACTATCAAGGTAAAAAAAGACACATTGAAACTAAAGTGTATATATATGGAATGAGTAAGAAATGAAGACACTTCTTACTTTTTTAGGTTTTAAATCACACAACTTGAATAAAAGCCAATTATGTGTAGTGGAAAGTACATTTTCATTTGCATTCAATTACAACAATGGGACATAATAAACTTTAATTTCAACTTACTCAAAATGAACAACTCAGTCCCAACTGGTTCAAAATACCCTTGTTCAACTGAGCCTTTAATCAAATCCCACATGAAAAAGGTTCGAACCTTATATCGAAAAGTTCCCCTGAAGACAGCGCTGGCTGATTGAATCCCATACAGGTCAACATACTTCAGTGAGTCTCTGTTAGGGATCACCTCTAGCTCCTCATCCCCAATCATCTGATCTGGAACCTTCAGAGAGGGGTCCGGAATCTTGTCCAGATCTTGAGCTGATACTTCCACTCTCTTTGAAACATATGTACATATAAAATGCTGCTCAACAACAAACTATCTGCAATCATTAAATATGATAGGGATAAAAGTCTGTTTGTTAAATCAACTGCCAGTAATTACAAAACTTTATCATATTTTGTTTTGAATCCAAAAATGTAAAAAGCCAAATCAGTAAGTCTTGAGCATGCATTCTTATATGAAATGAATATATAAATTATTCATGTGATGCAAAGCAGTAATTCAATCCAGAAATCCCCTCTCGCATTGATAGAAGTACCAGTATATGATCAAATTGTGCTTAAATTATAGCTTTAAAAAAAATGGTAGGAAAAGAAACCCACTCATATCATAACAATGAACATACCTTGCCATTTTTTAGGTACACTGAGTTGGCTATGGCTGAAAGCAACACTCCTTTGGGATACCAGCTGGTAGAAATATTAAGTCTTTGGTTATAATACAGGCATGGTGATAAGATTAGGGAGAAACAGCAGTGTAAAGTAACAGAGTTCACTGTAATAATATGATCCTGACTTGTTCTTAGCATGCAGCAGAGCCTATTTAGCAGAATCAAGAGTAGGCCCTAAAGTCATACAGTATATACAACAACATATGCCATACAATAATATAACATCCTTCCAACATTCTTTTTTAATATACTACATTGTTCTATTTACAAATTTATACAATATTATAAATGTAAATAATGGACTTGTTCACGGCCTAGGTTTCCATAGTTCGTTATAATAGGCCTACATATGAATAATGTAAAATTAGATCACCCATTCAATCCTTGAACTTCTTTATAAAAAAATGACTTAAATTAGTCAAGAGGAACGGTCTACCTGAACTTGTATCGCAAAGGGACACGGGAACATTCTGGGGCTGGCAACCCTCCACAAACTGAATCATACGAAGTAATCTGTGAAATACAGAAATATATTCAAACCATATTGAAACTTTGTATCCTAGACAAGCTTGATTGTACCAATGTCGACAACGTCAAGAGATTTACTGGGTTCTATTGTGTAGCAGTTAGGTGCTTCACAGCGGCATGCAGAAGCCCCAAGTTTTGACTCTCCGTGTGGAAGATTTTGATCATGTATCTCAGTCTTTTTGTTGGTATGTTGTATCCCTCTCAGGCAGGGTTGGCCCTGACAAGCAGGGTCAAAGTTTAAGTCCTAAATTAATCATCCAAACTGTGTTCACAGGGGTATAAAAACACCTACATTGATTTTTTTTTCAAGAGATCATCATAAATCACTAATGACTTTTACATACATTGACTTGTTTAATAGCTATAAGCAAAGATTCTTGATTACCTACAGCTTCCCTTATAATTAAGAAGTTAAAGACACACTGATCTATACAAAGAGGGACAGAAGCATATTCCTAAAATACCATAAGCCTTGCTAACATGACCCAATCCATCTTAAAACTCAACGGCATTCACGAAATATAAAATGAACTTTTGACCCCAACCTATGCTTCAGAGCATTAACCTTCATTCTGAGTGATAGGCTACCACATACTTTAGTTTGCACATTTCCCAAAGCCTTGAAAGACACAGAGAAGAAGACAGCTTTAAGAGAGGTGGTGATGAGGGAGAGGTGGAGTAAGGTGGGGGGGAGAGTGAAGGAAAAGATGGGGCGGGAACGATAGGTGAGCAAAGGATATAGGGGAGGGTAGGGGAGAGTGGGAGGTGAACAAAGATTCACTGTATAGTAAAAAAAAAAACCCAAGAAGACTGGAGCGAGGCATTGATATCAAAACACTTTTGAATTTCATAATTGAATCAAATTAAATGATATCATGATCCTGCTAGTATTGGCTCGCTGCATGAAAGAAAACAGTTTCTAAATCCATTATGTCTTAACTATATTTTCTCATTTTCTTAAAAGATTAACTTAGATGTGAACTCTATCTCACTTGCACTTCCACGTTATGTATGAAATACTTTCCTAAAATGTTACTTATTTACTTACTACCCATTACGCCATCTGGCATTTAGGGCAGCAACAAAGGATCTCCAGCTCTGTCGGTTTTGGGCCATCTTGGTAAACGTCCCTTCTGAAAATGTACACAGCATTAAAATGCCCTATTCATTAAGGAACCGCTGTTGTTCTTTTTGACTTGAGATACAACAGTGACCAATAGCTAATGCAATGTTAAAGAAACAAGTTACCTGACCATTCCTCTCTGTGATGGAATCAATACACCTCAGTGCAATCATATGATCGATCCCAGGGTCTAGTCCTGCTTCACAGAGGATAGTCACTCCAGCTGCAACAGCCCTGGGAAAAAAAATAACAACACAGGACATTTTGTGTAACTAAAGTTATACTTGGATTTTCTAGTCAGCATACTTGATAAAACCTCTCATTTCAAGATCATTATCTTTTACTTTGTTTTCAATTTTAAATGGAAAAAAATATACATGTTTTGACATGCATATATGCATGTTATATTCATAGTTATGCCTTTGATCTTCGGGTACTTGAATGGATTCCTTTCACAAACTCTTTAAAACTCTAGTTTTCTACTGAAACCTTAAAATTGCTTTAAAAAAAACTGCAGCTACTCATTATGTTGATGTGAAAATAAAAGTTTGAGAAAGATATAAAGCTTACTTGTCATTTAGAGCTTTCAAGTTCTCTAGGACATAACTTGCCATCACCATGCATCGCTTGAGCTCAATGCAATGTTCTGCTATAGCAGCATGCAGAGGAGGGGGCACAAGGCTGTGGAAAAAGGTATTTAAAATGGTTTTGATAAAGTAAAAGAGTAGTTCTATTTCAACTACAGTCAACCCGTGATACATGGTTATAGAAGGACTTTTGGTTCTAGAAGAAAAATCCCACTGTAGGCAAGTTTCCGCTATAGGAATGCAAAGGGGAATTACCGAAAATATTCTAAAATTCTGCATGATGACCTCCCTTCCATATCAATAAAATCTGTGCTTTAGATTAGTCTTCCTTTTCCTGTCAACTTTGTTGATTATCTCGGCCTTTATTTCGAGAGGGAAGCGTTTCCTTTTGTCTTTGTCAGAAGCCATCTTTTCCTCGGTCTTGTCACTTGTGCTGTCTATCGCAGACCTACCGGTAGGCCAACTATAGAACTGGTGAAGTGGATGCGTGCGTATGCCTGAGCATCAATGATCGCAATTCAATACTCTCCTCTTTTTTCTTTTTTACTTTTTGGCATAGCCTAGTTCTAGGGCTAGGCTTATCGTCGCCTCAGAATTATTTCGTTCAGAGTGCACTGAAGTAAAGAGGCACTTTGGACAATATTATATTATAGTTCTTAGGCGACGATAATAGCATATCACTTTTGAAGTGGCTCGCGTAATGCGTCTATCCGGAAAATCTCTCTCCTCCGCCTGCCCCACCTCACTCATCACTGGACTGGCCAATCACAACACTGCAACACTGACTGTCTGTTTGGAGCCCGCCTACAGGCCCCCAACCCCCTTTATAAGGCGTTCCTTTTGGTACATAGGCAAAAACTAGCAGTCAAGGCTGATGGTAAGCGGGGCTGGTGGTATAATGGGAGGGTAGTATAAAGAGGTTTGACTGTATTTGAAGGAGAAGGAGAAGGAGAAGGAGAAGGAGAAGGAGAAGGAGAAGGAGAAGGAGAAGAAGAAGAAGAAGAAGAAGAAGAAGAAGAAGAAGAAGAAGAAGAAGAAGAATTGAATTTATATAGCACATAGCTATGCTCTACAGCAGGCTCTATGCACTGAGCAACTACTCCCCAGCAGACCCTAGAACAATCAGAAACATTCTCGGCTTTCTGGGAAGCATACAGTACAAGCTGCTGATTTTATGCACTAAATCACTATTAAACTGACAAGATCTTTCACTGTCTATAGCCAAGTACCCATTTCGACATGGATGAAGTGAGGAAAATTTAAGCAAAGTGCCTTCCCCACGGACACAACATTGGGCCCCAGACAAGATTCCAAACCACGACCTTACAGTTGCGAGTCTGGGAGCCTATAACCACAAGGCCACCAGTGCACACTTCAATACAGTCAGCAAGATCTTGTTATATTTCTTACTCTCTCCTGCCCATTTCTCTCTCTGCTTCCCTTCCTCTCTCTCCTTCCCTTCCTCTCTCTTCTTCCGTATATCTCTGTCTGTCAGTCTGTCAGTCCGTCTGTCTGTCTCTCTCTCTGTCTGTCTGTCTCTCTCTCTGTCTCTCTCTCTCTCTCTCTGTCTGTCTGTCTGTCTGTCTGTCTGTCTCTCTCTCTCTCTCTCTCTCTCTCTCTCTCTCTCTCTCTCTCTCTCTCTCTCTCTCTCTCTCTCTCTCTTTGTGTGTGTGTATGTGTGTATGTGTGTGTGTGTGTGTGTGTGTGTGTGTGTGTGTGTGTGTGTGTGTGTGTGTGTGTGTGTGTGTGTGTGTGTGTGTGTGTGTGAGAGAGAGAGAGAGAGCGAGAGAGAGAGCGAGAGAAAGAGAGAAAGAGAGCGTCTGTGAGCACCAGGTGTTAATACATCGAGAAACAGCACATAATTTCATTTCAAACTTCAAACTTCAAACATTCAGTATACCCATCTAATTAGAGATAGGAAACTAAACTGTCAAAAAAATTGTCAATCCAAAATTTCAGTTCTAGTGTACCCAATAACCAAGGCAAAATTCAATAACATTATGAGGAAAAGTAAAAATCATTACCTAACTACGAGATCATGCTGCGCTACCAAGTTATGAACTTGTTCCGTATCCTTACTAACGTCAATGTGCAGCACTTGCACACCTGGATAGGTAGCGCTCAGGACATCTAGTTCATCCTGAATCATCGAAACTGAAATAAAACAAGAACAGCATTACACCAAGTGGACTAAATATAAAATACACATGAACAAAACGATTACTACTTAGAGCATCTGCATTGTAAAAAAACAACAACCCACAAACTGTTAATAGCTCTCCAAAATGAAACAGAAAGACACAGAAAAATAATAAATGTTAACTCATTGGCAATGCACACACTATTGCCAAAACCAAGATTTTACTAGAAATGTGTATTTCATCTTCAATGAAAAAAAGGACAATAAAGTAGCTCAATCTAGTGTAATATAAAAAAAATTCTTTTTCATTTGAGCCTCTATCTGGAGTTTATTCAACTCTGGTGTATACTGTAACACCCTTTACAATGCTCATTAAACTTCTCGCAGACTACACCCTTGATGAGTCTTACCAATCGTGACAGAGCATTGCCTTTTGAGTAGTACTTTGATGCATGGACTGACGACTCTACCACTGCCACAGACGAGTACTTTTCGACTTGTTGAGGTTGCCATCCTTCTCTCTAATTTTTCCTGGAAACTGATCTGTGAAGAGTAGGGTTCTCACAATTATCCTGCTTCCTCCTACATGAGAAATATGGGCGAGATGTAATAAATATGTATAGAATGCATTCAAACAATATCTGTTGGTACGCATTGCATTCATGGACCCATAAATACAGTCGAACCCGTGCAAGACGGAATCGTACGGGAGCCAGAAAAAAATTACGTCTTAGACAGGAGAATTTAGGGTGAGATGGGGGGATTCAAAGGCCCAGCCGGTAGGATCAAAGGTTGTCCGGTTAGCAAGCAGTGGTCAAAACGCCTCTCAAGTGCTATCCTCTCTGATAATGACATGTGTCAGTTTTACTTATCCATTGCCTTCCATGCTTGCATTTCATATGACTACTGCTTGACTTATTAAAAACAGCAAAGTTTGAACATCTCCTTTGCTTCCACCCTTAGCCCCACCCATCGATGTGATAAGCCCAGTCAACCAATGCCACCCCTTACTATTAAGTAACAATGATTCGAGGAACTCTTTTCTCATCTCGCCGTACGATCAGGGCAGCAGGCACTGGTCAAACGAATTTCACATCTCTAGCCTCCGGCTACCAATGAAAGTATCCATCCTGGAGCGTCATTCGAGCACTTTTTACTGACATTTATGAAATTTCACATCCACACCACCCTGATCATCTGCAGTGCTAAGGGCTCACATAGATGGGGTAACATCTACCCCCACATTGCACTCCTTTTCGCCTGTTAAGTTTAGAGCCGGCGGAGCCAAACTTGCGAGTTTTGTTTCAAATCAGGGCAGAGTGGGCAAAGTATTTTCCCTCTTAGACAGATAAAACCCTCAGAAAGGGAGCGGAATTTCTTTCCGTTTCCGCACTGGACAGGTCTCCGTTTTATACAGGTAATTAAAGAGGAATTTACCGGGGGGGGGGGGGGGGGAGGTGGAAAGACTCCGCAGGTTTCCATCTCTTTATACAGGTTTCAGTTGTAGCAGGTTCTACTGTAGGCTATAAGGTATGCAGATTCGTGAATGAGCATCAGTATAATTATATTGATTATAATAATTACAATATTATTAGAATATTATCTAACAGCACCCCAACATGCCACTGATTAGGGGTGACTTACATTCTAAAAAACTGTCCGGGTTTCGAACTGTAAGTAAGGAAAACCACTACTTTAATAATCTATGTTTTGGTGTAGAAGTCGACTCCTTTCAACTTTGTTTGAAAGAGTACATGTAGGACGTGTGTAGTGTAATTGTATTCTTTATAATCAGTACCTCCTTACATGAGCTTACAAAATTTATAGGTTGCAATGGCCAACATATAAACGATCCATGATTATGGTGGCCTGGCAGAGAGAATGTGCCCAAGTGAGAGAGAGAGAGAGAGAGAGAGAGAGAGAGAGGGTTTGGGGGGGGGGGGTGCGGTGTGTGTTAGAAAGAGAGAGATGGGGTTGGGGATGCGGGTGCGGCAAGGAGGTTATACAGTCAAGTCCTTGGGGTGCGGTTATCGATCTTAGTGAACAGACTACTCAATAACACAAATATCGCAACGTGGGCATTATAACACATTGAACTGCCACAAGACCAATACAAAACCACATTGATAAAATACAATTACCATGCAGAAGCAGCGATCTTCGCAATACACGCAACACCCACTGAGCCGTCCAGGCTTCTACTGTGCTCTTGACGTGTAGCTCCCAAAGCACACGAGTCGCGATAATGTGTGGTCGGTGGTCGGAACCGAAACGTTCGTCTCAGCAACAGCATATGGTATATTGGGGAGAGAGAGGGGCAACTTAACCTGTTGCACTGGCTGCATGCGTATATATAGGTCATCAGCTGACCTGGAAGAATAATAAATATGTATTGTTAGTGATATAATTTATGATGCGATCTTCTTCATCAGCATTTGACAGATAATAGTATTCCATAATTAACATGAGGAATGTGAACGGCATATAAATGGGGCAAACTTTAATCTCGTTTTTCTCAGTTCTTACTTGAAGTCTTTTGAAACTTCAAACAGGCGGTTCGTATCACAACTTCAGAGACTGTCAATATAGGCACAAATTAGCAGTAAGTTTACAATTTGTACATTTAAGGCATGATTTAAAACGGGGAACGGATCCGGTGAGAGACTGATGCGAGCAGTCAGGACGCAGGACGGGCTGGCGTTTGTTCGAATCATGGCATTGCTAGCAAACTCTTTAGGAACGTTTACTAAGTGGACTTGTATTGGCCTTAATTTTTTCTCTGTAGGCCTACCTCGTAAGTTCAAAGACCTTTTGTCCCCAAAATTGAAGGGACACGTGGGCGTCCTTGTGGTATTCGTAGGCAATCTTAAACCTCAGTAGGTTGTCATTAAGGTAACTTATATAATTATTTTGGACGCTATAATTTTACAAAATGGTGAGGTCTCCACCTAAAGAACAGTTCGAGCTGAACGAACAGGCCATGCTCTTGGGTTTATATTACATCTTGAAAAGATCTGAAATGGTATTCCGGATGTATTGTCCCCCTTTTACCCTGACGAACACCTCACGTTCCGAGACTGCATTTCATAGTCAACCATACAGTAAAAAAAAAAAATGTTTTTAATGACATAAGGAACACTTTGGTTTTCTGCTACAGGATCGAATGTTAAGGTCCTGATTGCAGTGCCATTTGTACAGTTAGCACATGCCTCACCGATGTAGAATCTATATGGTGTACGTAGCGATGAGGCCCAAAAAAATGTCGCACGCAGGAGACGTGAGTTCGATTCCAGTGTGGGGAATAATTATCACTTTGAATTCGGTATCTGTGTCTTTCTGCTGGGATGCTGTAAAAGCTACCTCTGAGCCCAAGTTGACTCTGGTAGGAAGGGTAGAAGCAGCCCAGCTCCTAAAAAGATCCAGCCTACTTCGTAAAACTTCTAAATTTTTCACCGGTTTCGTGACATAAGTACCTACAGTTACGGTGTGGGAAGGATCCTGTACTACAGGGACTCTTCCTCGTGCCCTACTGTGGCTGAGCACAATGTACAAAGCATCAACTTGGGTCGACAGTGAAAGCTTTGAGTCATTACACCAGGAGCATGAACTAATGCTTCACTAGTCAAGAAGCTGCACAGACACGCACTTTCGAGGGGGAAAAAAGATATCGAGGCCGTTCACAATCAAAGATCTTGCACGGGCTCTCGTGGCCTAGAGGTTAATGTGTTCGCTTCTCGTTCAAAGGTACCGGGTTCGAATCCGGGTAGCGACCGAAACATTGTAATCTCTATAAAATCGTCTCCTTTCACCTCATTTCCTGCTCTATAACAATGTTCTGTCGTCTGCTTTCGTCTCCACCTTCTGCCCCCCACCCCCACCCCCTCATCTCCTTTGCCCCCTCCTCTGGGCTCCAGACTCTTTCAGCAGCCTGTCTATTGCCACTCCTTTACTCCTTCTTACTGCTGTCTTTCAGCCACACCCCTGATCTTCTTGTAGGAAAGATCTACACCTAGCCTTCCCGGACAAGGGAGAAAAATATCGGAGGTCCGGTGTAAAAGTTGCGGACGTTAAAGTTATCTTGGTGATCCATAATCGATAAGAGTAGGCTTCGGCCGCCACCCAGGCAAAATTCAAAATTTCCTACCAACTGAAAATGTTTAAGGTGTCCCGCGGGCTCATATGACCGTATGCAGTTGCGAGCGCCGTAAAACACTTACCAAAAAAAAAAATCTTGCACAATTAAGATGGTTCACTCAACCAAAAAAGGTCTGAGTGCTATGTTATAGTTTCTCCTTAAGAATTCAGAACTTCGAATCGCAAATTACAGATTGACTTGTCAAGGTGTTTCACTGTCAAGCTAAAATCAAAGCCAGAAGCCACCCTGTTCGTTCTGTCTTGGACAAGGAGTCGCGTTCAAAATGAAGGAAAAACTGAACTTCCTACTACGCTTCAAGGGAAAATGTGGATGTACATGATGTACCACTGAGCATGGCGAGGAACAGGATCAATAATTATTGTATCAAGGCCAACTTCTTCCTTGTATGTACAGGGCTCATAGGCGATAACGATCATCTTTCCACCAATGGAACCAAACTTCTTGTTCTATTCACTTGCTTGTGCAGGAATTCTCAGACAGCTTGGGCTTTTCTAGTAGGACAGGCGACAAAACTGCTACTCCTTCGACATCATAACTTGTACATGATACCGAGACACTGACAAAGTACTCGGGAGCTTCAGCGCCGTGGATGTCTTCGAGTGGTGTTCATCAAACAACACAGGGCAGTCTAGCTTGACTACACGCCCTGGCGAGAGGCCTCGATGACTTCATCAAGAGAAATGAGCTTCTGAGATCCGGTTCTGGTCACAGCGAGGAACTGGAGGATCCGGAGGGGGGGCAGTGACGTATGGGAAAGTCTACCAGAATTATCCACCCAGTTTTCATCCTCACAATGACGATTCTCGGCTGTATGAGTTTTGGAGAGTCCATTCTTGTAAATAAGGTATGAAATTAAGTATGTCGTCTGTGTTGTAGTTGAGTTGATTTCTTTATTTATTTTGTAGGTAAGTATTGTATGGCGCTTGCAACTGCCCAAGGTTATATGAGTGCAGGGGGCACATTAAGCATTTTCAGATTTAGAAGGAATTACATGTACTAGTAAATTTTGCCCAGGTGGCGGTCGAAGCGTACTCTTATCGATTTTAGTACCATGCACCAATGGATCTTTAACGAGAGAAGGCTAGGTGTTTGGTCTTGCCTACCTTAAGATCATGGGTGTGGCTGAAAGATAGCAGTAAGAGGAACAAGGAGAAGCAGTAGAAAGAGTCAGGAGCTCAGAGGAAGCAGAATGGAAAGGAGAAATTTAAAAGAGAAGAAAAATTTCCGTCGCTGTCAGGATTTGAACCCGGGAACAATTGAATGAGAGGTGAACACTGTACCCCTATTTTGTCTACAGCTGATAAAGCTCAGCGAGAACCATGTGAACCTATACGTACTTATACTATCATGCCACCCAGCCGACTACAAGCCCTCAGGAGATAGAGGCCTACTGTCCAGGCCCACAGGTAGCAGATGCCCCCC